TCAATCGTCTATACGGAATTACATTTTGAGTGCATGAATGATCATGTTTGCAAACAAAGAATTAGACAGAAAATGTGCACAGGATAAGGAACAACGCTAGAATAGATAGAAGTTGGCGGTAGTTATCGGCACTGCCGCGTGCCGATTTCGCACCGCGGTAGTGCGAAAAAAGCTGCTGTTTTCTATCGGCAAAGCTACTGTTTTCTATCGGCACTGCCGTAGTGCGAAAAAGGTCGATACAGTATGACGAATGACGAGAGTTTTATGGTGTACATGTATAAAGGTATACTTTACAATGAACGGGTACCGTAAAAGAGGCGACGGCATCATTAAATAGTATAGGCTTACAGTACAGTAAATGGTACCGTACAAAAACAATAAATGATCGCCTGACTGGCAACAGCAGCCCTTATAATATTCTTTCTCTATGTACAAACTTAGCTACGAATTGAAAACATTACAAAACGTGTGTACAATGCAAGTTTAACCAACGCCTCTCTACGTTTCTTCATTTAGGCCTACCCTTAATCCATCTAGCGAACTTTATCAAACCCATCTATGGTGTCTTCAGACATCTAGCTAGATCAGTGATACATTTCGAACTTATTAATTTCTCAGTGGCGAGTGGCGATATCTTTTAAATTACCAATTAGTCATAACATGGTCATACACGAATGGAAGTGTTCAACCCTAGAGCAGAGGCAAGATAAAGGAAGCAAGGGCCACCGACACTGATGATGCGCAATAATACATGTCAACGGTTGTTCTATTACACAAGACGTCTCTTCGCCCACCTTTTGACTCTATGTTCCTTTTTTTTTTTGCAAGCGTGCACTGCACATTTTAAAATATCCATAAAGTTATAAAACGATCCAATGGTGAGAGCCCGTTTCCTAATTTTTTTTTTGTTTTTTTGATTCACTATTTGCTTTATAAGAAGTGCGGAAAAGTCCCTATCATAGTCCCCACGACGCAAATGCTTTCTTTCAAAAGTATTGTGGACCGTGTACCACGCGTAAATACCACAAGAGGTCAAATTATGGTGTTGACACGCGTAAAGCGTAATAAAGCAGTCGGCACGTCACATGCATGCGCCCATCTTGCTCGCGTGTCATGAGCGGTGTCACTCTCACTCTGTAAGTTCACATTGAACTACAATTCGCTTGCTTTCTTTCCTCTCTTCCTCTACCAGAGAACGACACATCACGAGTACGCAACTCTGTTTGTCTATACTCATTAAAACACTTATCCTATATACAAATAGGATACAGTATGTTGTAATTCAACATGCAAATGGAGATGGGCGTTAACACGATTATAAGGTAGTCGGAAACGGTTATTTCTTACTACGGGAAGAGCTGTAACCGTCTGATATGACGAAAGGGCGTGTATGGGTCACATCTGGATCCGGGGTCCTGGGAATGTACATTCAGTAGGCCCTGCAGACTGAACAAACCATCACTTCATTATTATTTTCAGGTTATTCAACCTAAGGTGGTTCCACTACCTGGATACTGTGGCCCATTGGTGTCACACGATCACGCACTGCTGGTTGACCCGCGCATGACCTTCGCTCCGAGCTATCATCGAAAAAGGAACCTGGGAGTAATCCAGGTCCCTTCAGTGCGACGTTCGGAAATATGTGATAATGCATTTACAAGGTAACCGAATTTGCAGGTGCATGCTGCGGTAAAAATAACAATATAAAAGATACTCAATGACAAATATTAAAACAATTGTTGATTACGTTTTGCCTTTAGGGTATGATAGCCAAACATTATGTTAATGTAAGCAAAAAAAATGTTTGATTTTCCTCAACGACAACGACAGGATAATGAAATAATATTTAAACTCACCATTAATTGTATTTCAACTTTTCATGGCGTTTTTAGTCACCCGGATAACACGGTCTCGAATATTCCCGACATTCAGATAGCAATACGACAGGTTCTTACCTAAATAACTTCATATCACAGTATTGCAATGTTTTAAAGTAAATGACTGGTCCATTTTAGAAACGAAAATTCACTTGATAATGCGTCAAAATTCGCAATCCCACGCACTTTTATGCGTTTATGTCGCCCGTGATTGGATACATTAACATCTCACATAAAGACCGCCCTCTGTAGTACCAAACATCAATGGGCGGCAGCACATAACAACACATTTTTTGAAACGCATTCCGAATTGGAGCGTAATGGTGCGTGAAGTCTTCGTTTGACATCACTGGTTTCCGCCTGCCCTGGACTGTTTATCCAGCACAAATTGAAGTATTCCGACCGCTTGACAGACTGACTTCATGCATCAGGAAAGACAAGAATTGTATACTCAAATACGAGTTTCCTGCCGTCGCCTCAACAGAAGTTTTAAAACGTTAGCTAGAAATCAGGCCAACACACAATTCGGTGACACACGCGAGATACCTCGGTTTTGTAGACGACGGAAACTTGCATTTAAACAGCATCTTGGCACACAAGACTGACTCGTTTCTCCCATGTGAAAAGAATGTACTGTACAAACTGTACAATATTTCTTTTCAAGCATAGGTCATAAGCGATTCGTTTTTTTCCCTTCTTGAACACAATTAAATTAAGTAAAAAACGAAGTGAATCAACTAGCTGTCTGTATACAGAATTTTGCATTTCTTTGTGACTACCGAATGTTTTATTCATCCAGTAAATATTTCATAATGTTAAATAATGAATAAATCAAATACTGGCGGGGAATGCTGCGCAGCACTTGTCATCCACTCGTGACCAATAATCCAACGGGTTAGTTGTCTGAAGAAGTCCAGCGGAAAAAGTTCCAGAATTCGATGTTTTTATTATTATATTATTCAACATTTTAATTTTTAATTGACGATTATGGTTCGAATTAAAAATGAATGATGAAGTTTTTAATTAATGTGTTATCAAAGTAGGCCTACATATTACCCACACACATTATCGGTCTTATGAAATATTTCAAAAGGTTAGATAATTGTTATTGAATCATCACCACAGAATTTTGACTTTCATCGAGTTCGGAGAATGTTTTCATTCAGACAGACGCGCTAATACTACTTCCGGCAATAAACAACGAATGATATACGCAGCCGTATGTCGGTTTGAAACAACACAAAATGCAATAATCTATCTGTTTAATAAATATATCCGCAATTCAATTAAATTGTCATAGACGAAGAGGAGGGCAACCCACGTACTTTCGCCGAAGTGTTTCGGGATTAACTCAGGATGTGCTATCTGTCACGTGATAAAAAAAAAATACGTCGAGATATTCATCTTGCCAACAAAATTGGTCGTTAGAAAAACGTTAGTTGGCTAGTTGGAATGAAACATATTGACACTAATGTCAATAAAGTTATACACATCTAGATGTGTATAAGAGACAGCCCCAATACACTCCACTGATTGTGTTTTTGATATCCTCTTCCTGACCGTGTTTCTAGACTCCTCCCCTATTTATCTATATTAACTCTCTCCTGATCGTGTTTTCTACTGACCTCATCTGACAGCGTTTGCTATCGAATACCGTACTTTATGACTCTTGATTTTTGACCGTGTTTTTTTTTTAATGACGATCTTTTCTGATCATGTGTTATAACTCTCTGACCGACTTTTCTATCGAATCCTTACTGACTCTTAAACAGTTTTTTTTATATATCAAATACACAAATGGTATATTTTGTATTAACTCTTTATCATGTTTATTCTATTGACGACTTCTTTGATTGATCATGTTTTATAACTCTGGTCGACTTTTCTATCGAATTCTTACTGATACTCAGACATTCTTGTTTTGTATAAAATACACAAATAGTAAGTTTTGTATTGACGACTGCCATTAGAGTGCTTTGACGCCCCTAATCGTGGTTCCTATTCAATTCTTTCCGAATCTTGGCCGTGTTTGCAATTGACTCCTCCCCTGATTGTACAGTATTCCCATTGTCTCATTCCCTGATTGTGTTTCTATTGAATCATACAAAACTGTATATTCTATCGAATACTCTCTCTGCCCACATTGTTTTTATCGAATCTTCCGTCACCTTGATAATATATCGTCATGCAAAAGCATAACAAATAAATATTTATATTCAATGTTTAATAAACAATAATATCTCCATTGTAACATGCCTTATGGTTGTGCCATTAAATTCGATCACAGAATATAAAATAATAATTATCATTAAATTAGAGTATTTATAGCTTCACGTGTTCTGTTTGGTTTCGTCTGAATCTTACAACATAGTACTGTACACAGAGGTATTGGGCCTCCAAACAAATATTTACTTTAGATAACATTTTAAAAATAGTATGATGACCTTATAAACAAAAGTCGTAGGCCCTATACATCGATGTCCTACAATAATTACAATGCCATGGTTACTAATGATAAACAGAATATTGCAGTGGGGCTAAAGGTTGAGTATATTATTAATATTAATAATATAGTTTCTAGACAATATGGTTCAAATACTAGCCTCTCTAGCTCAAAGTGCGAGTACCTCTTTGTTCCGGGTGTAACCTGTTTTTACTTGTGCAGCCTACCAAACCACAAGATTCCAACGAATGCATTTTATGGTGAAGGTTTCAGCCTTGCATTCCTTTCCTTGGCCCTTCCCTAAGTATTAACCTCTGTGCCGCAAAGAGACAACAGGCTGGAATTCCCTTGCAGGCCAAAATGCTGCATTTTACTTGTGCGTTACGGGAAAACGACAATAACATTATTGTTAGATAGAAGCCTAGGCCAATGCGAATTATGTAGGGAAGTAAGCAGTGAAACCCCTGGCCCCATAACAATAACAATATCGAGGTGCTGCTTAATTTACCCTAGCATTGACTCATTTAGTTCATGGTAACAGCCAAACTATTCAAATATGAATTAAAGACAGATCCTGAAGGAATATAACGAGGTAAGCCTCGAATTTGGCATGAAAACTAGCTAGCTTAGCCTGCCAGCACTGCAGCACACGGTCACGTTTACAATACAAAGAGGCTTACCTCGGTAATGACAGTGCGTTGACTGGCCTAACGCCTCGCGCTAGGCTCGACTGCTAACAATCCACAAACGAACAATACGAATCACCAAAAATACTTTCAATAGCTACAGCTAACACTTTACATGTGTATTTGATGCAAACATACCTTAAATGACCTCAAAACATGCAGGTAAACACGAAAGAAACTGCAAAAAATCCAACCGTATGTGTGTAGTACTTCCGATTTCAACAAGCGAGCCTTTCGCATTGTTCTAAATTTAGAAACGCGTCACATCCATCCATACACAAGTCATTGCTTACGTATGTCTAGTGTGTTTTCCCAGGGACTAGCCTGTGTGTGAGGTCGATGTTGAACGAGAAGCCAGTTTAGTTACAATGTCCGCGCCCTGACAACCAAACAAAGAAATCGACTAGTATTTGTCACGCATCGCCATGCCGTTCTTTGTTCACAGCGGGACTGAGTCCAGATTCGTATGGAGAAGGTCGCGTTATCGGATGAATTGAAAATATAAATCGATATTGTGTTTCTGGGGCTTTGGACTTCTTTTCTCGCTGACAATTCTTCGGAAGAGTTTTTTTTTCATTTCCGACCAGGGCTTTGTCAGGTCAGTGGGTGTAAACAAATGGGTCATAGGTTGGACTTTGCTACCTTATTTAAATCGGATATAAAAAGGAACCCATTAAAGTAGTTATGAGGACAGATAATGAATGGCAAATAATGTCAACTAAGCTTATATTTATGAGTGAACAGCAGATGTCATATTTCTGGCTGACTGGAATCTCATATCGATTCTAAGCTTCGTAATGTACTTGCTCCTCAATATAAACACAATGAAGCGGGATGAAACGATATCACGTCATTCGATAAGTGCACATCTAATTAGTATTTTCTCGCAAGTAAAATCCTCATCGTCGAAAGTCGGTTACTCATTAGAAGATTCGGGGCGGGGCAGTCCCAAAGCTCACCACCTTAATAAGTTTCAATATTAAGAGGAGGCACGGTACGATACGATACGAAACAATAAAATATAGGCCTATTTATCAATTTCAAATTAGATAAGATGTTCTGTCTAAGATAAATGTAATCCAGTTTCATATTGAATTGCTTAATATGAATAAAGTAAATTGTTAAACTTAAAATTTGGAGGTTAACTTATGTATTTGATTTTTTAGATAGGCCTATGAGCTATTCCAAATTTTTATTCATTTAGTTTTTTGATTTTTTTTTTTTGTGGCTGATAGTGTATCTTTTTATAAGCATACTGTAAATACATTTTTTGCTAAAATAGATAGGCCCTAAATATACTAAATTAATAAAATGCATAGGCCTAATAACGTTAGTAAGACATGGTAAAATCAACAGAACACATCAGTACTGCAGTATCATTACCGAACTTACTGAAAGCAATTATTTGATGATTGTAAAGTAATTATCGCCACTTTAATTATCACCTTTCTTCCTTGTTTAGAAATCAATGGCAAGTGTAAAGAGTCACAATATTTCTATAATGCAATGACAACAAAGAATGATCAGTAAACTGAATTGAATTAAAACGTGAAAACGAGTGTGAATAAAAGAAATTGCACCTATATCTTTTATCTTCCCAAGATATTTCGCCACAACGCTCTATCGCCATCGTTCAATATGGGCTAGACATCAAACCTACCCTTACTCTAATTAATATTTACTTATCCTATTTAAAATCATCAATTTTTTTTTTATTCGGCTTTAAATATCAAACGTCCTGCGATTTCTACCTTGACGGATTAGCAAAAAATATTCTCATTGGCTTCTTATACAGTAACAAAGTTTCAGATCTTGTATGCCTAAGCCTTATAAGTCTTGTTCAACTGCATTTTAATTTTCATTTTCATTTTATGATGTTTATTTTTGAGTTGGTTAAGTGAGACCCTGTGCCAGCCTGGCCGAAAATCCAGACACTCACTGCGCCCGACGGTCGTCGGCCGACGCGATTCTTTGGAGAACGCAACGCCACGACGCGCACGCAACGGATTTTAATGACGATCCGTTCAGACTGCTCCGACGTCGCGTCGCCTAGCGCTCACACATGGATTCGTCGTACGACGCAGTGAGAGAGTCACTAAATATAGCCTAAACATGCAAATTTTAACATTGAAAATGTGATAAAAAGCAAACCAATTTTAGCTATATTCTGTAAATTGCATCTGATTAATTAATCTCATTGTTATACAAAAGCTACCGGTATCGAGCTATCGAAAGTGTTATCAAGTCCATTATTTCATTACTTGTGTTCAATGCGATTATGTCAGGCAGACCAACCACCCCGTTCCAATGCTTTCCTTTACCGAATTTGTTCCGATCTGTTCGTTTTGTAATTTTACTATTTTGTAAAATTCTTAAAAATTTTTTTTATGATTTTATGCGTAATACATTGTAGGTTTTCAATGGTTTTTCAATTGTTTTTTGGGTTTTTTTTGTTTTGTTTTTTGTTTTTTTTTTGTTTGTTTTTTTTTTGTTTTTTTTTGTTTTTTTTTTTGTTTTTGTGTTTTTTTGTTTTTTTTTTAATGGAATCTGCATCTTTACCATAGCGATATTTCATCTGTTGTCTTCAATATTATATAGCGAATATTCGTAACGTTGTTGATCATCATCGTCATCAACATTTTCGTCTTCGTTATTGTCATCATCGTCATCGACATCGTCGTCTTCTTCGTTTATAATCATAATTATTATCATTATAAAGCAAGCTTAGTTACCGGTATGGTCTAAACGATAATAATATTAACAATATATAGATTAGGCCTATCAGATATAAACATTAGTCCTATTGTTTAATATTCAGAAGGGCAACAATAAGGAATATATATCTAAAAGACGAGCCTATGTATTCCGGAAGGTAAAATGCTTGAATCCGTATTATATGGGGTGGAGATGTGTGGGGATGTGTGTGCTTGCGCTTTAGAATATAACAACGAAATAAAAAATATATCTAAGCAACGAAAAAAAAAAAATTAAAATTAAAAACGAATGTTCAGTAAACAACACAGGTCTAATAACAATACTCAAATTAAAAAAAATAATAATAATCGAACAAAGACGAGGAGATGAAATTCCGGCAATGAAACATTAAATCATAATGACTTCTTGAGAACAAAAGCGGATGATTGTTACAGTGAAGATGACGCGCATAGTCTAACGTTTAATGAACGCAAGACGATCGTCGCTATAATATTATAACGTCAGCAATGACGTCATCATTTGACGCAACATCTCATATTTTGCTTTATCATTGTTGACTAACAATAGCATTAATTACATTTATACTGTCTCAATGTCAATTCCTTAAGCTCATATTGTAAACTTAGCAGAAATGTAAAAGTCTACATTAAGACGTTCTGGTATTGCCTTTGTCTTAGCGAAGACAATCAGCTAAAAAGAAAGCTCTCGCGCGCACACGTTACACTGCGTTTTTGAATTGCGTTTTTATCTAGAGTAGGCCTAGGTTTGATGACGCAACATTCACAACATTTACTAGTTCTAAACGTCCATATAGGCTAGGCCTACATCATACCGCTCAAAACAGTGTCACACGGTACAGCCCACAACGCACCGAACTCGCTCTATATATTGGTAATTTGTCACGTAAACATGCTTTTACTAAAATACTCACGATCCTTTGGCGATATGATCGTAATACAAGATAAGATCATTTAGTTTTCCGTGATAAACGGCGCGTTTTGCTACAGTAATGTTACCACGTAGTGCGCAAACCACGTACAGATTTTATGTGATTTTTTATTCATTGTTCTTACAATCGTACTCAACTCAATAACATCGTCTTTTGTTGTTAAACCTTTCTGTTTTCATTTATTTTGTCTTCAAGATACATAAAACAACATGAATATAAATGGATAGATCTGCACAACAAAATCCATAACAGCAGCCAATTGGTCATTAGCAACAATACGGGATTAACGAAAAAGCGAAACATATTATTTCCAAGAGGTTCTCCGAAACTAAGTCTCAATAATAAAATCTTGTTTTATCACATCCACTGAATGTAACTCATGTAGAGGATCGGTATAAATAGAGGTGAGTAGACCTACCGACAACTTTGAAAACGAGAACACTTACTTAAACTTACACAGCTCTGATGTGATACTTTCGTTATTGGAATTGTTGCGTGTGATTATTTTCCCTCTCTAATTTTGGACGGAAAACAATGTTAGCATCGTTTTCCAAAATTTATATAAACGTTAGCATTAGCCTATATCAATATAGAACTGAGTATATAAATATACTCAGTTCAAAAACCTTTAAAGATTTTTTTTTCGAAATTCAAGCCAACAAAACAATACATAATGATACCATAGTCAAATCTAAGATTATGCTTTTTTATCTTAATTAAATAAATTAATCTTAATTAAATAAATTTTCAAACGTACAACAGTACAATACAAAATGAAGGAAGCGCACAGGCTCCTCTTTTATGTTTTTGTTTTTTTTTTGTTTTGTTTTTAAGTAGGCCTATAAAAAATAAATATAAATTACAAAATTAATATTGTACATACATCAAAACAAAAATAACTTCACGCTGAAAAAAACAATATTAATACTCAGATTTTGATCTGCTAAAAATAAAAACTCCGTTTGGTAAATTTTAAATAATTTAATTGCTGAACTTAATTTTATTTGGCCAGTTTTTATTGAGGGCAGCAAACACATTTATATTGCCAATGTCCACCACTAGTATAATGGGTTAGGCATGGAGGAACCATTCCTCCATGGTTTATGTATCAAATTTATACAGTTACAGTATTTAAAACTTCATAAGTGGCCTTTTGAAATATCATTACAGATATATTAGGGCTCTTCTTTAATAATAATAATAATAATAATAATAATAATAATAATAATAATAATAATAATAATAATAATAATAAAATAATAATAAACGAGACGCTTGTTTGACCTTTCGTTACCGTATTTGTGAGTTTATAATATTATTATTATGCAATATTGTTAAATAAGTTTATAATACCCAATTAGATACATTTATAAATGACGAAAGAATGTAGAATAAGGTACAAACAAAAAGGCAGCACATGCTAGGCTAGGTAGGAATGATTAGTTAGGGGCCTAGGCCTAGCCAATAATTCATTATTAATATTATTAGCTCAGCCGTCGAGGATAGAGAGAGCCTGCTGCTGGCTATTTCCTTTGTACGGGCCTAGCCAGCAAAGCCTTGATATCATTATGATTGTGTCTTGCTAAGTAAGACACACAGACTCAGTGACTAAGCCTAGGCCTATAGCCGACTAAACTGGGCTTCTCTATCTTGCATGTTCTGATCTAGAGCCTAGGATCTGTCTCTTATACACATCTAGATGTATCATTTTTAATAATTTAGGTCTATATATGAATCTTCCGTGTCAGTAGGCGTCTAGCGATTAACATTTAAGAAAAAAGGTAGCTGAAAAACACACTGAATTTCTTGGAAACTGAATTTTAATCACCTAGCCAACTGTATTCTAAGGCCACGCTAGTCTATATTTAAAATAATGTTTGGTTTACACATTACATTTACGGGCAGTTAGAATTCCCTGATAAATATTGTATACCGAATCAACATTTAATAAGCACGATATCATTATCAAATGTTTGCGTATACCTTATGTATCATAATATTTCTATCTATCATTTACAAGAAAGTTTTGATGAAAATCGAAACTTCATTCGCATCGTATTGAAACATGAGACGAATTATTATTAACTCATAATTTCATCTTATTACATTCCTGGCAAAGAGCATAATGAAACCTTTTTCTGCACTAATTTAAACTCGATTATTTTTTTCATTCAGTTTATGTGTAGACCCAAAAGTTTCACTTACGACATAGGACGTAGCCTCTCCCTGGTGATAATGCCTATTATGGGAGTGCAGTGGCGCGCGTATCTAGAATTAAATGGGGAAGGGCTGTGGGGCGGGGTTTCGATAAGGAGAGCTACCTCGCAAAATACTGTAAGGTGATATGACGTGATTTTTATTTACTTGAGTCTGATGTTTTTGCTTGGAAAATTTTAAATAGGGGCTCGACAGTGGTGGGGCGGTGGCAAGTTTTGTTAGAGGGCCGGCCCAAGGCATCCCCCTGTGCCTTCCCAAATACGCCACTGGGGAGAGGATGTAGGCCTATAAATGGTACTCGGTCTGTTTGATTATTCCCAAACTCTCCCTCCCAGTCTCCTCCACATTGGCTACAATTTAAATTAATAAAAATCAAATTCTTCCAATTCGGTTGGTTGTGTCTTGCCGATCCGCCATCCATTTACATTATAGTGTAGTGATAGAATCGTGCCATTCTATGAATTTTCGCGTTTACGTACATGAAAACTCGAGCGTAAATAAAAAACGACGACGAATGACAACGGTGGCCAAGCAACGAGACGCTTGTTTGACCTTTCGTTACCGTATTTGTGAGTTTATAATATTATTATTATGCAATATTGTTAAATAAGTTTATAATACCCAATTAGATACATTTATAAATGACGAAAGAATGTAGAATAAGGTACAAACAAAAAGGCAGCACATGCTAGGCTAGGTAGGAATGATTAGTTAGGGGCCTAGGCCTAGCCAATAATTCATTATTAATATTATTAGCTCAGCCGTCGAGGATAGAGAGAGCCTGCTGCTGGCTATTTCCTTTGTACGGGCCTAGCCAGCAAAGCCTTGATATCATTATGATTGTGTCTTGCTAAGTAAGACACACAGACTCAGTGACTAAGCCTAGGCCTATAGCCGACTAAACTGGGCTTCTCTATCTTGCATGTTCTGATCTAGAGCCTAGGATAGGCCTAGTTAAACCGAAAAGGCAAAGTTGAAGTATTTAACATCTGCTAGAGAGGAAACATTTTTCCATTGACAGTACTAAATATAGGCTATGCCTAGGCTTATGTAAGCCTCTCTCAATGGGTAGGCCTAGGCCTTTAATCAATAATTATTGCAATAAATTAATAAAATCTCTCTATTTATATTTCAGTAGTGTTTTTGTTTCTCTGTATTTTCTAAAAGAATCAATATTACCTGCAAGTGAGTGACTCATCAGCAACCATGTTGGTGCCAATATTCACCCTCAGATTGAACAATAAAATCAATCCTCGTATGGTGACAATCGGCAAGTATGATGGGCAGCATCCGAATCTGACTGCAGCAACAATGGCAGGCAAGGTAAACGTATGAAGACCAGTGGCAGATCCAAGGGTGGCTAGGACTGCTTCTATCCCTCCCCCAGCAGCAACCAAAAGATCTTTTGCCAATGTGTCATATTATTTAGATAAGACAAGAGTAAAATGGCTAAAAATCTGGAGTTTGAAAATATGTGAGGAAACACCCCAACATGCCCCCCTGGGATTAGTCCATTCCCCCTGGTATTAGGCCATGTCCCCTGGGATCAAGCTATGTCCCCTTGGGATTAGGCCATGCCCTCTGGGATTTGGCCATGTCCCCTTGGGATTAGGTCATGCCCTCGGGATTAGGTTATGCTCTCTGGATTAGGCCATGCCCCCTGGGATTAGGCCATACCTCTGGGATTAGGCCATTTCCCTGGGATTAGGCCATGTACCCTGGGATTAGGTTATTCCCCCGGGATTAGGCCATTCAACCTCAGTCCTTAGGTCCCTTGATTCCCATTCACTGTTAGAAAAATCAGTGAACAAAATTATAGGATACATTTGCATAGATCAAGGCTGCTATACATGGCCATATTAAGTTTCCCTTTTATTTAAATGTTTCTCCTTACTTTCCCTTTTCCTAAACTTTATTGGAAAATTTATTTACAACAATGTTTTCTTTTCTCTCTTTAAGTTAACCTTATTTATTCTCTAAATTTAAGGTTTTCATCCACAATCCACATTCTCGCTCTACTTCTGGTGGTCGCAGCATGGAAATCAATATCAACTCTGACATCAGTATGTTGAATATAAACCAGAAAGTGAGCGCCCTCGCTGCTGGTCCACTAGATACAGTTGGAGTTCATGATCACTTGGTTGTTGGTACACCAACAAACATTCTGGCATATGATGTCCAGAATAACACAGATTTATTTTATAAAGATGTAAGTAATATTTCATTACTCTAGAAACTTTTCATATCCTTACTTATATACTAATATTTCTAAATTAAACACTTAATATCACATTATAAAAGCATGCATTTGATGTTTATTTCAGGCCCCAGATGGTGTAAATGATGTGGTTATTGGAAATCTTGGATCCATTGAAGCGCCACTTGCAATTGCAGGTGGTAACTGTGCGCTCCAGGGATATGATATAGAGGGCAATGACCTTTTCTGGACTGTGAGTATAATGTTTATTAATACACTATTTAAACTGTTTAAATTTTATGTCTCTATTCCTGTTTCTTTTAATTGTCTGTGTTGCATACTAAATGGAATTTCAAAGACAGAATGTGATAAAATGCATGAATAACCTTAGAAAACAAAAGCTAAAAATTACAATGCCTGCTTGTTTAAAAAGGTATCAGAAGGTCTTGGGGTTGATTCTCGATGGAGAAAATATATATATATTTTTTTAATTTCTTTGTCACGTCCCATTAGGTGTGTTTTTAGCTTTTAACATTTGGTAGTCGCATCCTGGACAATATCTAACATATATATTTTTTGTTTGAATCAACCCTTTGTAGGTGACGGGCGATAATGTATGTTCTTTAGCTTTGACTGATTTCAATGACGACGGCAAAGATGAATTAGTTGTTGGTTCGGAAGATTATGATATCAGAATCTTTCAAGAAGATGAAATTATTGCTGAGATGACAGAAACTGAAGTGAGTATAGCCAAGTTTGGCAGGTTTAAGAGGAAGATTTCCGACTTCAATATTCATTTCATGTCCAAACCTAATAGTGATGGGACAAGAGATATCCAATTCCCATGTATTTAATGTATAAATATAGTGATAATGATGGTAAATAGAGGAGCTCTCTGACGTCATCCCATGTATTCTGCATCCAAATAAAAACAGTGACGTATCTAGGGGAGGGCATCCCCAGTAAAACCAGTGCTCACCCTCCAAAGCAAAAAAAAAAAAAATGATGCTCAAGTAGATAAAAATCACCTCATATCATCTTATTTTGTGAGCTATTGCCCCCCTCACTTAATCATCGAGCCTGCACTTCATCTTCAAGCCCTGATCACCTGCTGAATATAAAGATGATGATAGTGAAAGGAGGACTCTTACGTGTCAATGAACTTCTCTTCGTTATGTTCCATCTAATAGTCCCACTATCTAAACTTTATTTATATCTGAAGTGTTGTTATCATTGTTAACCTGTCATTCACTTATGTAATTATTCCCACAGGCAATCACAAGGCTTTGCCCCATGACACAAGGGAGGTTTGGTTACGCTTTAGCCAATGGAACGGTCGGAGTCTACGACAAGAGTTCACGCTTCTGGCGAATTAAGGTAAAAGGATATTATTCTCTGACCATTAGATAACTGACAAAACATGAATGTAATAATATTTTGGTGTCTGATCTATCATTTAATAATTTACTGTTTGTTTGTTTTTTCCCAACTATAATCAGTCAAAAAATCAGGCAGTTAGTATCATCAGTTTCGATCTGAACAACGATGGCGTACCAGAGCTCATCACGGGATGGAGTAACGGCAAGGTATTGTGGTTATTGTTGTCTTCTTCATGTAGTCGAATAAATCTTGAATCACTTATTATAGCTTCATGAATAAATATTGGATAACTGTACACTAGTATTTGCAATGCTTTGCAATTTATCTTTTATTATACCTCAATAAATACATAAGTACTGTAAATGTAAATAGACAGGCAGTAGGTAGTAAATACATATAGAAATTCCAGTGACTGAACCTAGTATCATATGGACGATGAGAGTTGCTGGTACCAGGTTACCAGGTAGCACAGAAAAGAAGGGACCCTTAGGGGTGAAGAAAGTCATTGATCGAGTTCATAGTTGATGTTAGATAGACATGGCGCTATATACTACACTATTATTATTATTATTATTATATCTTTCGAATTTCTTTTGTGCAACAATTAAATTATTTTGTGGGTCTTCTTTATACCTGCCTATAGGTGGATGCCAGGAATGACCGTACTGGTGAAGTTGTGTTTAAGGATAACTTTCCAGTGTCATTGGCTGGTATTGTCACTGGTGACTATCGCATGGATGGCAACACAGAATTGATCTGTTGTTCTATTGAAGGAGAGGGTAAGAAACTAAAAATGTAACTCAAAATATGCCATAGACAAATAGTCAATAGCATTAAAAAAAAAAAATCTGCATAATAGTTTTTTTTAATGAGTCACAGATCTAAACAATTCTTGACCACCCACTCACTCATTCATTCTGGTTTTATTATCAAACCTCATAGCAGTAAAACATAACTGAATTGCAAGCAGATTCACAAAATTTACAAGAAAACAATATTAAAAAAAGATAAATTATTAAAATGCAGCTAGTGAGAAAACCTAAAATACAGAGAAAAGGCACAGGAAAAAACAACAATCAGCATCAGGACAAAATAAGAAAAACGTCAAAACGTACATTTGGAAAAGGAAAACAAATACATTTGCATAAGGAAAACCAATTCACACCAGAAACAATCAGCATCACGTCAAAAAGGAAAACATCAAAAAGTACATTGGGAAAGGAAAACAAACATTAAGACATTTTCATAAGGAACACCAATTCACACCATGACAAAAACGACAAACAATACATTAAAAACAAAATATAAATATATACATAAACCCACTTCTGGAAGAAATTCGACTCTACCCACATCTTCATATCTACCTCACCCTTCCCAAACCCTATCCACTCTCTCATAGTAAATGTACTGTACACATAAGTGTAACAAATGACTGGAAGTTGGAATATTTTCAGTATTGGAATTCAACTTGATGTAACTTGTTCCCTCACAGTTCGTGGCTATCTGCCAGCCTCCAAGGAGGTCCAAGGCAACTTGATGGAGATAAACATGGAGCAAGAAGCCATCAGAGACCTCAGCCAGAGGAAACAAAATCTACTACTGGAACTAAAGAACTATGAAGCTAATGCAAGGGTACATGAACTGCCATGAAGCTCTCTACAATAATAATAATAATAATAATAATAATAATAATAATAATAATAATAATTCTGGATTTAATAAACAACATACTGAAATTATTAATCTCTGCTGAATTCTTAAACAAACCTGGGAATAATCCCCAGGGTGCCAGTGGCATGTCTCTGTCTCTTATACACATCTAGATGTGTATAAGAGACAGGCAGAAAGCAGACTGGGTTACATTTTGTGTACAGTTATTTACTTTTTCCATCGATGATATGAAGAAGTTTGAATAATAGTAGCAGTGTTACAAAAATGCAAAACATGATTATTACTATTTTATTAATAATTATAGGCTGCCCATGAGGAGAGGCCATCTGGCTTAGGAGACCTAGACAAGGTCCAGATGGGTATCATACCAGCCAATACTCAACTCCAAACAACACTGGCAGTTAACCCCGGAACAGATGGCAAGTCTGTAAGTAATGATGTCTGAAACAAGCACGCTGTCAAACGAAGTTTGATCAAATAATATCTGTTAAGTCTGACAAACATAACTCTACAGTTGTAGGTCCCTCTTAAATGATTTTGGACTGATAAATTATAGGATCATGTATTTAAAAAACTCTAAAAACATTTTCATTTTTTTTTTACACTTAGCCACACGTTGAACTGATTGTTTCTACCACAAATGAGATGATCATTAGGGCAGTACTGATTTTTGCAGAGGGAATATTTGAGGGTGAAAGTCATGTTGTGTAAGTGTAAACAAATTAAATTAAAAAAACGAACATACCTGTACATAGAGTTGTATATCAATATTTAGATTATCTTTACAGAGAAGTCCTACGTCCTTAACGTATGTGTGAATATGAATCTCCCTTTGCATAGCCAGCGTAATATGATTAGTAAAAAAAATGCAAACACCTGTTATACAGACAGCTTAGCATTTAACATCAATACCATATGGGTGTTTTCTACTGCATATGACATTTAACTCTTTGACTTTATAATATAATAAATAGCTGTTCTTGTTTCCTAAGTCATCCATCCGCAGTCAACTTGACCCAATGTGCCAAAGTTCCGATTGTTCCACCCAAGGACATCCCAGTGGACCTCCACATCAAAGCACTGGTTGGCCATAAGCACAGGTAATGATATTATGTCTTGGGTTGAGCTAATAATCTTTAAAGCCCTGTCTCACATTTTATTTGACAAAAACATGTGATTTGCCTAAATATGGTCATGATGACATCACATCATGACCATATATAGGCACATGATGACTATATATGGGCATACAACAGGTTTTTGTCAAAGACAATTTGATGGTCTGGACAGAGATTGAAATATTAGTTTTTCATGGAAAATCAGAGCAAGAAAACATTTTTCTCGTCAGTTACCAGAAACATAAACAATGCTACATAATTATGGGATGTATTTCTTTCAGTACGCAGTTCCACGTGTTTGAGCTGTCCCGTCAGCTGCCGAGGTTCTCCATGTACATGATCTGCAAAGTGAAGCAAGAGGAACCAAACAGTTCAGTGACCTTAACAATCAACGAGAGAACACAACGGGTACGTAGTTTGACCCAGAATCATGAAATATGAATGGGATGTTTAGATTTTGAAATGTGGTAGTCCAGCTTATTCACATACTGTAAAACCTTGAATAGAAGCTTAATTGACATCTTAGTTACCGAAAGTAGCCTTGAAAAGAAGCCCATCTTGAAAAGAATCCTATGAATTTCTTTTCAAAATAGCATAGGCTTCAAGGCCATCCAAAAGTCACAAGAAAGGCCAGTGCTTCTATTCAAGGTTTTACAGTAATTGCTTTGCGATCCATCACAAATTTAAGAAAAAATAATAGCTGTACCAATCTTCAAAGTGATGATATGTAAGGCATCAAGCAATGCTTACATGAAAATTCAAGTAAAAGGAAAATTAATTATAATAAATGGTGCTAATGATTGACAATGGATCTTTCCGCTAAGCCCCGCCCCTTGGATATTGTTGCTAAGGACCCACAAAACAACAGCGTAAACACATTCGCACACATGTGCATTTGTGGGACAAAACATGTGTTTGTAGGACAGACTCGTATCCCTGGCCGTATTCTGATTGGTCAGTGGTCAAGTTTGACACTCCATTTTGGTCAATTGTTGTCTCTTCAGGTTGTAATGTGGTTGAATCAGAATTTCCTCCTTGAAGAGGATCTGGTTGCCGATGGCAACTTGGATTTACAATTCATGTCTTTAAGAGGAGCAGGTGTGCTTGCTTTCAAGATGGAGCAAAATGGACAGGTGAGTTATGGGTACTCTAGTAAAAAATGACAGGTTGGTTATGGGTTAAACAGAAGAGGTGAGTTGTGGAAGTTGCAAATTAAAATAGGGTTTCTCAAAACATGTCTGCTATAACAATAAAGGCTTACATCCTATTCATAAAATGCCTCTCATTGTTTTTGTCTTAAAATATTCTTTGTGATCACAATTATTTTCAGTGTCCTTGCCATCATCATCAAAATTATCATTGTCATTGTGATTATTATCACTATCATAACCATCATCACTATATTGTCATAATGGCCATCATCATCAACATCACCATCATTATCTATATATTTCATCTTCATCACTTCATAATTATAAAGTTCTTTCATCAGCCTATTTTGGCTTTAACTTTTCTGTAACCATTGACTGTTTTTGTAGATCACAATCAAGACCAATGACATGGACTTGGCAGGGGATCTGATCCAGGGTCTGGCATCATTCTTAGGCCTAGATGACCTGCAGTCTACAGCAGATTTCCCCATGCACATGGAGGACCTGAAAAATGTGCTGATGAAGGTAAGAACAGAGGGCAGCATAACATAAGACGTAGTATGACATAACCATCCATGGGGGAAGATGAGGGGTATTAATATGGGGACATATTAATGCGAGCTGGAGAATGAAGTGATATGAAGTATGATTCTGCAAAGTGGGGACTTGGGCAAAATTTCTGGGGTTGGGTGTTCTTTCCTCTTAGTTACTGTACATTACTGTGATCAATCATAATTTTGAGTTTTTTTTGTAGGTGGACGAATATCACGCTGTCAGACAGAAACTTACAGCAGAAATGGCCGACCACTCGAACCTCATCCGCAGTTTGGTCGTTAGGGCTGAAGATGCTAGGCTCATGTGTGATATGTAAGTGTAAACAAGTTTGTAAAATAAGTGCAAAAGAACAGTAATAAATGATAAATTATTACAATATAAAAATAATTGTTATAATGATTTAAAATGATATTAATAATGTAAGAATAGTAATAATGATAATATAATAGTAATAATAATAATGATATAAAAACATAAAACAATACAATATAATAGTGGAACCAGTAATACTAATAATAATCATCATCATCGGCAGCCCAGTCTCGAATGAGTGCATCCGGCACCCATGGAGAGGGATATACATTTTTAGAATTATTTTTTTATTGTTCACTTATTTAATTTTTTTATGCATTTAATTTTTGCCATAGTATTCATTTAATAATAAACGATAGCACAATAATAGTAAAAATAATAACAACAATACCAATAAAAATAACAATAGTAAAATAATGAAAAATGCAAATAGATGAAAAAAGAATGAGATTGATTTTGATAGACTGGAGTATTTGACATCATTTGGTGTGAAGTCCAATGCTCGAGTGGCTTTCTCTGTTACATTTTGTGCAGATACAGGAAGAGTGCTGTGTGGAGAGAATTTCTGCAGCATGCTTCCTTCGATAATAACAATATAATAAAAATAATCATTATAAAAATATAATAATACGGTAATAAACATACTAATAATCACTATATAATTAATCCTGATCATAGATTGTAATGAATGACCCAGCAACAAATGTCACTATTTTTTGTGAGTGAATATTTCTCAATAGAATCAAATTCAGAAGCATGTTGTGTAATTTCCTTTTCATCTTTAATCAGGCGAAACATGCGTAAAGGTTACATGGAGTTATTTGACCTGAATAAAGATCTAGTCAACGGCTACAAGATTCGCTGCAATAATCACACAGAGTTGTTGAACTGCCTCAAACTTGTCAATCAAACGATTCAGAAAGCCGGTCAGCTTAGAGGTATCAGTAGAATTCTTTCATCTTCATTTGACCTAGATAATATCTTTAATGTCACTGTCACTATTGCTTGTGTTTATATACACTGATTCATTTTTATTTTGTTATTTTGTTTCTCCTGTAAGCAAATTTTTAAACCTTATTTATTGAGGGTGACCCTGATATTCAGGTGTTCTCATAAATAAATGAAATTATCAATGCTTTAAAATTAAGCCAATTTACAAGGCTTATGGAGTGGAGATTTTATTAGATTTGATCTATGGTCTAATTCCATGAGTGCACTGTTTTCAATGTGAACCAACTACTTGTAGGGTAATACCATATATGATGTGGCAGGCCATGTGACAATCACTTCAAGTATAAACTTAAGAATAACGTATTTTATATTTTTTTTTCAGTTGGCAAGCACAAAACACAGGTAATTACAGCTTGCAGGCAGGCGATAAAAACCAACAACATTAACAGTCTATTCAAGATCATCAAATCAGGATCATTGTAACCATCATGCACCTGTTCGTACATCACTTCCTGTTCATCAGTTAATGCTGACCACAATGCAGTGTGGTTTGATCAGAATGTCAGATTAGGTGTGAGAAATCTGTTGAAATATCCAAGTAATGTATTTCTGTACTTAACATTGAGTTGGCTGACCATGATGACTGAGACAACTACACAGTACTGTCTCTTTTCAGACAGGGAGGACTTTTCCATAATAGTAATGGTTGTAGACTTGTATATAGCACATAATACTAGGTCTCTATTCACTTTCAACAAATATCCAATAGAATACTAAACAAATAATAAAAGAAACTTGTAAGATGAAGACAAAAAAAAAGAAATAACAAAAACCACAAAAAAAAAAAGAAAAGATGGATGAGAAAAGAGAAGTTTTAAGTCTGGCCTTAAATAAGGAAATGGATCACAGTTCCCCTACTGTATATTGATGGGAAGAGTGTTTCAGAGTTTTGGAGCAGCGACCTTAAACCATAATCGGTAATATTACATCATAACTGCTGGCTAAATCTGTCTGAAATGGGCTTAGTTGTCTTAGATGTGATAGTGAAATTTATTTTTTTTTTACGCATAATTATAAGACAGGGTTATGAATATTTTCTGTGGTGAAACATTGAAACCACTAGCCAAGTTTGACCCAATTAAGTGACCTTTGACCATGTAAAGTTACCCCACCTCTTATCAATTATGGTGATGCTATATTCCTAGAAAATTCAAATCACTTCGTAAGTGAAGTAATTAAAGTACTTGTTAAACACCTTGATACTATTATTGTAAATATTTTATTTCATTTATTTATTCAACCAATGCACATACAATAGGTACAACACTACTACAGGGGAACTTAGGTATAATTTGATTACATGTATAACTCATGGAGAGTCAGCTGCCCAAGAAATTATTTTAAATTGATTTTCTATTATTGCAGATTATTTATAAGAAATTGTTTCTATAGTAACCATGGACACAATATGGTAGCAATAGTTGAGGAATGTTGAGTCTGTAGTACAAAGGATTAGTTTCATTTTGTTTGTGTTAATGTTTACACACTGTACATGTAGTAGTTTTGTAAATATGTTGTTCAAAAATGTTTGTAAATTAGGAAATATTATCCAATAATGTTAAGACAAAACATATTAGCAAATATGTAAATATATATTACTTCATCAGAAAAACATGCTAATCCTAAAGAGTACTTGTACCATTGGCCATCTTGTATATTTTAATTAATAGAAAAGCAGAGAGATAAAATAGCATATATATATATATATAGATACATAACTACTTAAGTGGATTTGACATTAAATATTTTGGACATCTGTATCTTATTACGTATGTTGACCCAGTTCATTACTTGTAGTATCTTGTCAAAGTTACTCCGTGTTCGCTTCCTGGAAAGTGACTGTTTGCCTGCAGGGGGTGTTGGAACTCTCACGATAGCCTCTGTAGTGAATCACTATTGCAGGGCAAAGTTGATGCATAGGCCTGTCACAGTGCTATAGGCATACAAAAATAATTGTAAAAAATATTTATAGTACACTAAGTACTAATTATATTAATCATAAGTGGATGTCAAGACAGATAAAATTTTTGCCTGGATATCAAAGATGAAAATTACTTCAGGTAGTTTTGTTTTCATTGTTTATATCGCAGGGGTACTAAGTCGAAGAAATCTCTTCCGGGAGACTTGGTTAAATGATCTAGTTTTATTTTGCTGCATGGTGACACACATTGCCACTGAATTCATGAGAAATTGATTATAAAACAGTAAAAACATGCAAATTCATGAATTTGTGGTAGATTGGTTATATTCCGGGAGATCTTGCTTGTTTGTTGGAGTGCTGGAAGCTGTCTCGATTTCAGAGTCTCCCTCGAGTTGCGGGAGAATTGGGCCCCTGATATTCTGATTAATATCTTGAAATATGTTTCCTCTAGTTTAATTTCATCAAAACTTTTTTGGGGAGGGGAAATTAGGGTGGGAATGGGAGTAGGGAGGTTGGCAATTAATAATCTATATTCTAAAAGTAGAATTTAAATCCATCTTAGTGAACAGATGTCAAAAAAATCAATCAAAATTTACTCTATCAGTTTTAACAGTTTGTACCAGTTGTACAGTACAGTACTGTAATGCAGTGACAGCTGATGTCAGAAAATGTTAGTTTGCCGCCCTCTATGTATTTCTATACGCAGCAAAAGACAGCAAGATCTGTTGTTAATATTGAATATTATATTGATAGCCTAAAAGCAGCAGCATTTGCATAATACAGTATTCATTTCTGTATTTCAACTTCAACACCAGCATAATATAATTTTTGGGGACGGATAGGGCAGATCACATCATTATGGGATGGTGACATTACCCTCAGTCCCCTTCAGTTCCACTCATCTTGCCCCCAAAAAATTTAAACAAATTCTTTGCCCACAATATGTTTTAAAACGTCTCTTGGAGCAGAATAAAATGGCTCAAAATTAGTTACTCCAGTCGCCAAGTCATTTGGACCCCACCGTGTCTTTACCATATCCCTGCCAGCCAAACCCCTGCGATTCTTGTCAGGCAGATTTTCCCGCTCCTAACACACAAATGTATATCCTAAAGCCACTATGGATTCATTGTTGCTTCCTATGTTTACATACAGTATTTACTTTTCTTTATGTTTTTTATATACTTTATATATATTTACTTATGTTTATGTTCTTTTGCGTAAATATGATCAGATTACTTGAACCCACTTGATAAAGCTAGCATATCCTCAAGTAGTAAACATCTTGTTTTTTGTATGTTTTGTTCATGTTTACATGGACATTGAATACCTGAAATGAAATACTACTGGCTAAGAGAGACATCTTCGAATTGAATAATAAAAAGGGACTATAAACTGTGAATTTGAAGTCAGACTTAAACATACAAAACTACATTGAACATCACTGCACCAAGGATAACGCAAAGCCTAACTCAGTGTGCCGTTTTTGACAGAGGTATCTACATGGTAGTGGAGTTGAATAGCTTGGTGGTGAAGATGCTTGCTTCCAATGCCAAGGTCCTGGGTTTAATTCCTGTCATAGTAACAAGATTTTTTTTTCTCAAGACCAAAACATCTCCACTCCCTAAGCCTCATAATGAGACAGTTTATGTAGAGCATTTTTTTGTTTATATTTGTCTTGTAAAGGGATACGATACTTAGAAAAGTGATTAAGTTTGCTATTTGGAATATCCCTGGCCTTCAGCCTAAATAAATAAACAAAACAAGCAAATGTCTTCTACTTTTTAAATATGATAATGTAATTGTCTAGATTGTAATGCCATTCAAAACAGAATGAGTAAATACCATTTCGGGGTAAACAGGCTTTTTTTTATTGACACTTTTGTTTGCACAGTCGGTTGTTAATTTCAATTCTTGCACAATTCAACAAGCATTTAAAATGATAAAATGAAGGCAAACCACTTAAATCAACTATACATGGTACATTTTGGCTGCATATTTTTGATTAAAAAAAATGGAGTTGTAATCCTCACTTATGTTAACCATGGAGACAATACATCATGCCACATATTTCAACCAAACAACCAATCACTGAAGCTCAGTTCGGCATTATGAATCTTGATACTTTGGGTACGAATAAATTAAAAAATTCCTTACTATCAATTCAACAACTAAATTCTATAACTAATTATCAAAAATTGCTGACAAACATGTTTATACTTCATCTAGAGTGAATACAGCATGCAAAATATATGCAGATTTGGCAAATCTCACATTCCCCTAACTTACATTCCATGAGAAAAATCCCACTCAACAGAGCTGATATTCACAGGAGCTTTCAACACAAACACCAATACAAAAATCATGTTTACAACACCTAATGTTAGAGGGCGCTTTCTAAAAATACTGCTTTTGACATTTGTATGTTTCAAAGTAGTTGTCATTTTGCCAAATGTTCTCATGCGAGATGAACCAAATCATACTAAATACCAACAAAAAATGTAACTACACTAAAACAAAAAATTTAATGATTATTACTGATTCGGTTGAAATATTGCTTCAACAGCTGTTGCTGTTCGGTAATTCTTTCAAAAATGATTTTTTCCATGATTGATTGCAAAATTTAAGTTCAATATTTAAAAGCAAGTTTATTTCCACAACATATTTTTAAAATTAAATTAAAAATACCTTAGTAAGGACTTTAGTAGAAAACAGAAATAATTGCCTTGTTCTAGAACTGTTGATTTCTGATACTGGAATGTACTTATTACAACTGTTAATTCTTAAGGGTATGCGTTCTGCCACTGTACATAGGAAACTGACAGATATAGCATTGTGGGTGACAAGTCCAGCTTTTCCATAATCTTTAGACCCATTTTTATTTCAAATTGTTTTTTTTATATATATTTACACTGAAAACACAGCGAATCTACAATACACTGTAGCCTACATACATGACCACCTCACAACTCCATCGTATCTTACAAGTCTAATATGAATATTCATAAAAAATTAGATAAAAATGATTATTCATGATATTCAAATGAGTTAAAATAATTCCCTCTCCAATGAAAGTGACTGACGAAGCACACCTCATCTCATTCTTCTTATATTCGTAATGTCTACTATAGCATATCTACTATAGCATGTCTACTATAGCACATGAATATTAAATCTTGCACTTATACTCATGAATCAAGTAAAACACAAAAATTGTCCTCGCTTTCGATTCACTAAATTTGACAGATAATAATAATAATAAATATTCATTATCTCTTTAAGTACAATTCACACTTTTGGCACAATGTGAACAAAATGTTTTGGGAAAGAAAATATCGATTGAGAATCCAGTACGTATGATCCTGAATTTATCTTAGATATTTTTTTTTCTCTCACAAAACAGAAAATTATGCGAAAAATACAAATTCCAAAATTGTTTCTTTGAGAACTTTACACAGCATTGTACAAATGATGACCACATTGACATGTTACTAGTTCACTTGGTGATGAATATGCACATTACTAGATGAATACACTGATTACGATTGGACAAGAGCAGTGATGAATATTCATAAATACTGAAGTCATGATGAACTAAATACAAAAATATCATGAATATTTATGAGACAGATGATGAATACTGTAATCATAAATGTTTATAAGGTGTCTATTTTGGAGGGTGAACAATATATACCAGTGCTTCATAGAACGTTATTTGTGTGAACATGTGTTAATAAATATGAATAAATATTTGAATACAAATGAGAAATGTGCTGCTTATGTAATGAATTATTCATGAAGCTGATGAATATGTATAAGATAAAACTCTATGGAACATCAATATTGGTTTCAGACAACAGTTATATACTACATATGTCGACTTAAATATGAAAATTGTGACAAATACAAACATTAATATTATTTATAAGGACGTAATCACAGTCACAGACAAGCAGATTGAATGAATATGCATGACTTGACGATATGAATATGCATGACCTAACGATATGAATATGCATGACCTGATGATATGAATAATAATAATCAGCCAATTTAATTGTCCATGTCACATAAGCTTTATTCATATGAATGTAAAAGATATTTCAAAATCTTCACACTAATGAATAAAGATGATTGTCATTGAAAGTCATGCATATACTTAACTATTCCACAGTTATGTTTTGATCTAAACAATTTAATTATTAACCAGTCAGTAGCTACGATTGCATTTAAACACCAGATTGAATGTGATTATGAATATTGATGAGGTGGCCTTGATATCTTATCAATATTTATCATTTATTTATCCACCTCAAAATACTTGTATGTGGGGTTTTCATATCCATTAGATTGCATCATTGCGATGTGTTTCTGTTCCAAGGTCATGTTAGGGTCAAGCTCTACGAATCCTTGGTTGACTGGTACACGACGTGACTTGTGTCGGATGATAAGACCGGCAGCGCCAATTACCATGATGATTGCAATGATACCACAAGCTAGGCCAAGAGCTACGACAGGGGCACCAAACTTTGTACTAGCACCTACTTTGGTAGCCTAGGGATTAAAAAAAAAACACCATATTTATAAAGCTTGAATTCCACATTAAAAAATAACTATGAGGGTCAAATGTATGGAAGTACATTGTAAAGCATATGCATAGTGGTGTATTGTGAAGAACTACTTTAAACTGATTAATTTAATTAATTTGCATCCAACATATGTGATGGGACTATCTTTACACACTCTAAACTAAATCTCATTAAAAGGTTTAAGGAGTGAAGTTATTCAAAAATTATTCTGGAGCTTGCAGTGTTTAAAACCAGAGCCTGTAGTATTAGAAGGCAAGCATCTTGAACACCAGGCTATAAGTTCATTCTATCAGGCTATATTTAAAGGACATTTAAACAGACAGAAGCCAAGTATCTTGCAAGAAGTATTACAGATTAGAGGAAAAATTATGTCAAAAGGTTGCATCAAAACATCACTCAAGACAGCAAACTATACAATATTACAAAATGTTATTTCCTACATTGATTTTCTGAAACAATAATATAAATTCCTCGTTTCTCCACTCCCCTCACCACTTTTTTCCCCTCTCCCTGTTTCTCTTCTGCATCTCTAAAATACTGCTGAAGAAACCAAATCACTTTGATTACTTACTGTTGTGTCTTTGAAAGCGGGAGCCAGTTTCTTTGAACTAGATTTCTGCGGTCGTTTTACCATTTGTGACTGGAACTCTTTAATGATGGCTTTGCCGGGGATTTTCTTAATAGCTGTGGATTCAAAAGAAAGCACGGAACATCTTAGAAACACAGAACATTTTAGCTCATCATTCAAGCTAACAAATTTTGAAAAAAATAGTTTTCACCTTGCTAATGATATAAAAGGTGTAATACATTGTGTTTAGAAAAATGTATGTTCCTATATTCTTTTAATACTTTTACATTGGCCACTAAGACAGAATATAGGAAAAAAAATGAAACAACTTCAATAGTAGACTTTAAGAACACTATTAAATCTACTATTGAAGTTGTTTAATTTTTTTCTATATTCTGTCGGAACACATGTGGAGCACAAATGAAAATATATATATATATATAGACATTACCATTAAAAACAATGGCTGCACCCATTATGGGTTCGATTAGCACTATATGGCACATAAAGCTTAATCTGAATTACTTTGTACCTTGTGTTTTCAGTGGCTTAGTTGGTGCTGGATCTGGTTGCTGTATCTTTGTAGTGGCCACAGACTTGGCACCACCTGATTTTGGAGCAGTCACTTTATCAAACAGATTGACCTTAGGTTGTCTTTGACCAACAAACTGTGGTGGAACCGGTTCCTCACGCAGGAGAGGTCGAATATGCTCTGTATCATCAGTAACCAATGCATCTGTATTTTTGGTGAAATGAGAGATTAAAATATTTCTGTATCAATCATTGAGATCTATATTAAGCAAAATACAAGTAACTACATACTAAATTATTTAATGATGATGATTATGATAATGATGACAATGAACACTGTATGTTTTCTCATATAACACGAGGCTTTAAAATAGCAAATTAAAATCCAAAAACAGGGAGCCATCTTATACACTCAACACATACAAATAGATCATGTGCAGATCGTCTGTAACAAATGAAATGAAGCTGCTAACTGTTAGTATGAATGAATGCCATTAATGCAGGGAAATAAGATTTTGATGAACATTTAAAAAACCCATAAAATGGTATTATTTGGAAGATTGGCCCTACATGCCCCAGATGCAGTATCAAGACCATACAAAGTAGTATAAAGTAGGAATTCCGACGATGAAACAGGGTGTTGTCTTATACGCCCGACATCCACAAATCATCCAAAAATCTTCTCAAACTGGGAGTGTCGTTTTATATGCGGATTGCCTTATATGTGAGAAAATATGGTAAGTGGTTGAATGCAAAAGGAAACTGATGAATGAATGATTTATGACTATATGGAATAAATCATGAACAAGCAACAGAAAACAGATGTAAGACAAAAGCACTAAAAAATTACCAATGTCAGTTTCTATGATGTTATAAACATCTGGCTTTCTCCTAATCATATCAATAGCATTTTCCAGAGACGCATCCATCTCTTGCATTTCTGTCAGCAATAGAGGGCGCTTTTCCTTTGCCGTTGCTGGATCAACATCTTGGAGATGTTGGTAGTGGTTCAATATATGGGCTCTGTTCTTCTTGATGGCTTTTACAAACCTTGCCAAAGCATGTAGAACGGCTTTAGCCTACAGTAGATAATAGAAAAACATATTATTCTTATAAATTATTTATTTTTATGACTACAACTCTTCATATAATGAGATGTCCGCTTGTCACATAAGTAGATAGCTCTTATGTGCAGTAGGCTTTTAGTTAAGTGGTTTGCAAACATTTTGGCCAATGACCCAAAACATCCATCCAGGCAACTTGCTCCCTGTGACATTCAAAAACAGAACTTAAAAAAGGTCATTAACTTGTACACAAAACTGAAGTAATATGTTTAAACACTTAGAGGAGATGGTCTTTTGAGATATGTTATTGAAGGAAGAGTAGAGGGAAAGCAACCTCGAGTAATGTTGTTAGATGATCTGAAGGAAAAAAATTGAAAGCTAGGCCATCATGAAACGTATATCATATGATAGAGAAAATTGAAACCTGCCAGTAGGCAGAAAACGGAAGGTGATAATGGTTTAAGTAATTATAACGTGATTTCTTTCATCAAACTTTTGCATGATACAAAATTCAATAAAAAAAATACTAGAGTCTTGTGACCCTATAATTTATTTGGTGACCAAAGTTTGAGTCACGACCCATAGTTTTAGAACCACTGCTTTAGTTTATAGAGCATTATTCACTCCATCCTGTAACATAATTGGCAAATGTACTGTATCTATTTGCATTTTTTTTTCATTTTAAAATCTTTCTTCGCTAATCAGTAAATATTCAAATTTAAATTAATTTCATATACATTTTATACTTTATATAAAATGTAGTCAAGCTTTTATTTTATTTAGACACATAAAGTGTAAATCAATATATAATTGTGTAAGACTTTTCAAACATTATCCTCACATTCAAAAAAAAAAAATCAAACCAAACCAAGATGATTTAAGTTTATTGTAAACTGTATAATATTAATTGCTGTTGCAACAGTCCGCTTCACAATCCTATCCATTACACCTGCATATAAGTCAGAATGCTTTTAACTGGTTAGCGCGACTTCAACATAAAGTGCGGTGTATTTATTTGTGCGCGGATACCTTGCTTAAATCAGCTTACATTTTATGGACATAATGTACTCGTCAATTTCTCACATTGTGGATTTCAAGCGTTAGTTAATCTCTGGTTGAAATTTGAAATAAATTTGCTTCAGAGATTTATGCGACAATTTAGCTTTTAGTCCAGCATCAAAACCGCTCAATAAAAAACAGCTTTTGAAAACAATACGAGTGAAAATAATTAAAAGATATATGAATCAATTATATAATTCACAATAAATGAAAAAAATCAATTACTAAAAAAACATTACTTAAAAATTAAACAATTTAATCATTATTTTAATGTTTGACAGTATGTTTGATTCACATGACCATATATAGCCACATCATGACTACATATGTGGCAAAGACAAGCCAAACCAGTCACTCGTCGCAAATCATGTTTCAGAGAAAATGGCCAAAACATGCTGGAATGTCAACATTTTTAAAAATCTATTTATTGCACTAACCTAATCTTTATATATCTATACATCATGCTATGTTGTTATTTTCCCTATTTTCAATGTTAAAACAACACTTTTTAAGGATTTGATGATAGTTTCTGCATAAGAAATGCCCAAAATCATAAACTTTGAAGGCTGATTTCTTTCTGATATATTGTTCTTTAAACAGTTGTATGTTTAAACGATTGTGACTTGAAAATGGAAATGTCGGATTTCAACAAATTTTTTACCATTTTATAACTCTTATTTTACTCTTTAACACTGTATTAATAACTCAAAATGGATTTTTGCAATGAGTGACTGGTTTAGTTTGCCTTTGCCATATATGGGCATACAACAGTTTTTTGTCAAAGAAAATTTGATAATCACAACAGAGCTTAAATGTTATTATTTTTATATAAATTTACCTTTGGTTGCTTTTCTCCGATGAGAGTTGTCAGTTTCTTGAGGATTTTCGTTCTCCTGTCGGTCAGTAGAGCGCTGACGCGATCTTCATGCACGTTACGTAGGCTTTGACGTTCAGATTCAGCTTCAACTTCCAGAGCATTCACAGTCTTTTGGAATTGCTGGCAAAGAAAGAATGGTTTGATTAGAGCTGATGAAATGACCAAAAAAATAATTTTAGAAAGGAGCAACTAAACAATTCTCAAGTGTTGTGCAAGTAGAGAATTAATTTTGGAGTCACCGTGTTCAAATACATTATCTTAAAGCCCTGTTCACACTATCCAATCATATTTCAATGTTGCATACCCATATATGGTCATGACGTACCTATATATGGTCATGACGTACCTATATATGGTCATGACATACCTATATATGGTCATGACATACATACTGTATATGGTCATCATGACTATATTTAGGCTTGTTACATGTTTCTCTCAAAGAAAATTTGATAGTCTGGACATAGGCTTTGAGGTAGCAATATTCTGAAGTAGTAATGATTTTAACCAAGATGAGGAAGAAGAATGGAATGAGGAATAACAAGAGCGAGGAAGAGAAGTAGAAGGAAGATGTTAATGATGATGATGTTATTGACAATGATGATGATGAGTAAAACACTGATGTTCATAGTGATATGGTTGATAACTTATAATGATGCAAATTTCAACAATGATGATTGTGATAATAATAATGATATTCTTGACGATGATGATGGTTCCATAGAATGAAGGATGTGGCATGCAATCAGGCACTGATGGGCTCTGGAATCAAGGGACTGGGTTGGTAATAATGCCGCTGCTCTCCTATGGGGTGAGAGAAGTAGAAGGAAGATGTTAATGATGATGATGTTATTGACAATGATGATGATGAGTAAAACACTGATGTTCATAGTGATATGGTTGATAACTTATAATGATGCAAATTTCAACAATGATGATTGTGATAATAATAATGATATTCTTGACGATGATGATGGTTCCATAGAATGAAGGATGTGGCATGCAATCAGGCACTGATGGGCTCTGGAATCAAGGGACTGGGTTGGTAATAATCCCCATACTCTCCAGCGTCATTCTCAAGTAGACATTACAAAACATTGCTAAGCATGACAATGATGTAATAAATAAAGAAGTGTTCTCAGACAGTGTTATTAATCCAGAATAAAACACATCCACCCTGGAGGTTAAAGTCATGTAGGGTAGCATTCATTCATGGTTGCTGCGCCTAAATTATGGAATTCTTATTATCTATACGTGGGTCGCCATCCATCTCTTTGTTTAAATATAATTTATAAAAACTCTCTTGTTTTGTTCTCTTTGATTTCCCTTTTTCCATTCCTTATCAGCTAGTTTTTTTTCTAAGTTCTATTAGGAGAGGAGTCTCAGCCATCCTGGGTTGGCTGAGCCTCATCTGGTGCTGGACAGGGTAAATTTTGACGGATCCCTAGTAAGCGACAAGGGCGTATCCCAATCTACATACTACAATTTAGGTGCTGGTGTGGAGTTCTCCCTAGCTTATTTTTCTAATTGTATCTGTTCACTTTTTTTTGTGCATACAGACCGTTGTATTTTGTGAGGTATAAATACATAAATACATAACGTTTAACATCGAGGCCTACCTGTGTCATGGATTGCTTCATTTGTTCAGCCGCCTTAGGGTCTTTCTTCATCATTGTCTCATAACTCTTTTCAGCATTTTGCCAATCTTTCATTACCTTCGACATTTTGCCTTCTTGGTTTTTGATAATACGATCGCGTGCATTAACAAACTGCTCATGCTCGTCTCCTGTGTTGTCAAATTTTCGGTCGAAGTACGGGTCTTTTGTGATTGGTTCCTTAGTCGTTACAGTTACTGTTGACAAAGGAAACCAGCATGTTATTGAAAATTAAAATTGATTAATAATATTTATGTAGTCCTCCTCATATTTGCCTCTTTAAAACAATGTAACATATTATATTAAATAATTCCTTTCACATCCAAAACCAGTTAAAAACAACATAAAAAATATAATGTAAAAGTATATACTGTTTATGGTCCTTGTTGAAATTAATCAGCGAAATTTAGATTTGGCCCTGGGGACCTGCATCAGCCACAGTGCAGATTCAACTAAGGTCAGCAGACCAGGAAACAATCCTCTCCCCCTCCCCGTTTTCCAATAGTATAGTTTGTGCACACAACTTAACGTCCCATCCAAAGGATGAGGTGATTATAGAAAGTGTTTTATGTGATACATATGACAATATGGACTTAAAATACACATATACTTTAGATATTTAAACTAAATAAAATATAAGACCAGCAAATGCAAACAAATCAAGCAGAGGTTAAATGCTAATATACGAATGCATAACATTTAGTGTTGTGCCAGTAGAGGTTACGTACAGTACCAGAAGATGATCATGATCAACATCTAAGTTAAATTCCCATTTACTGCATTTTTTATAATTTATTTCAAATTTACATACTTGTATATTATTCATAAAATGAAATTAAAATGAGAATCATTATCATATAGAAGTGAATATTATAATAGTGTATTCTCTACCTACCTTCATTTACCATTTTTCTACCTAATAATAATATTTATCTAGTAAACTATTAGTATTTTTGTCATCTATGGTGCATTACACTGAGATTTTATGCGCTCTATGAGTTGAAATAACTTGAATGATTCGGATATGATGGGTTCAAAAGGTCACAGGTTCAAAGGGACATGAGATTCTGTCTAATGACAAATAATAACACTAGTCTTCTGGGTACATATATAATCCTACATGTTATTAATAACTACAGATCATATTTCAATTTTTTTTAATTATTTTTAAAGCTCTATCCACACTATCAAATTTTCCTTGACAAAAAAATGTGACATGCCCATATATGGTAATGCTATGCCTATATATGGTCATGGTGTGATGTCATCATGCCTATATATGGGCATATCACACTTTTTTGTCACACAAAATTTGATAGTGTTGACAGAGCTTAATTCCACAGAAATGATTAAGAATTAATTAGCTAAACATATTAATATTATTTGTGGTATATTAGGCTGAGTATATTTTGGAGATAAGATTCTATCAATTTAAAAGTATGGTTCTAATGATTAGGAATTTAATCTGGAAGGAGGCGGGCTAAGGGGTTTAGCTAAGAAATGGGCCAAGCTTGATTAGACGTGTCTATTTCTTGGCTTCTATTTTATATCATCCGTATGTATTTATTTTTGTGCTTATACAATAAAGAGAGAAGAAAGATGTATTTATTTCATAACAGCAATAACAACAGAAAAATACAATTGCCAGTGAAGGGCAATTTTCTATGCATATTTAGAAAAAAAACCAGTAACTGTAGGTAAATGATCATCCTATGTAAAGGTATCCTTAGGATTATAAAGCAATCAGTCAACAGAAGAGTCACATGGGAGACTAACTGCAAAATATTACAGGCACTCCTCCATGCATAATATGCATAAAACATAAATAGGAATCGAAGTGAACATTCTAGATTTGTTAAAATGCCAACAATATCTCTTGTGAATCAACCACGTACAAAAACTCTGCAAAAACCAGTGGGTGGGCTTATAGGGAGAATACTTTAAAAACTATATTTTGGAATTCTACATCAAGAAATTGCTTGATTTTGCTTTATATTAGGTTTTGTATATAGCAAAAATTTATTTTTCTCTGGTGCTATAATAACACTACATGCCCAATGAGTCTTGCTATAACAACACTATATGTGGCAAAGACAAGCCAAACCAGTCACTCGTCGCAAATCTTGTTTTGGAGATAATGGCCAAAACATGCTGGAATGTCAACATTTTGGAAATCTATTTTATTGCACTAAACTTACCTTTATATATCTATACATCATGCTATGCTGTTATTTTCCTCATTTTAAATGTTAAAACAACAATTTTTAATGATTTGGTGATGGTTTCTGCCTAAGAAATGCCTAAAATCGTAAACTTTGAAGGCTGATTTCTCAAATATTGTTCTTTATACAGCTGTATGTTTAAACTCATGTAACTTCATAACAAAGTGTCGGATTCAAATGATTTTTTTATCATTTTATAACTCACATTGTACTGTTAAACCCTGTATTAATAACTAAAAATTGATTTTTCCAACGAGTGACTGGTTTGGCTTGTCTTTGCCACATATGCTTAACTACAGTCTTGCTAATGCTGGCTGGTACTGCAATACCTGACCAGACTATCAAATTTTGTTTGACAAAAACATGTGACATGCCTAAATATGGTCATGATGACACCAAATATAGGCACATCATGACTATATATGGGAAACAGTCTGGGCAAAGCTTTACAAGCACAACTGGTACATCACCATCAACACCACCATCATCAAACCACTCTCTATCATCATCTCCTTTGTCCTTATAATCATCCACTTTATTATACAGTACTAATTTGCATTTAAAGATAACATTATGTTGTGATGTGTTATATTGTAATGGAATGTGTATTCTATTTGTAGATAAAATAAATCAAGAATAGAAGGGTAATATAAACTAAAATTATGTTTCAAAATTAAAAATGTCCAGAGCGAAACCCAGTCTGTATTCATTGTAACGTAATGTTATTCTATTTAAAGTACCATAATAGGTTATGTAAGTTACATAAAATTTTTTGTTACGTGAAGTAATGGAATATGTGTTTTAATCTTTAACATATACATGGTAAAGTAAATCTTAACACTGATTATGTTGCCAGGCAAATGCTACATTTTATTATAATAAACATTATAAATGACTTTCCTAGCATTTCATAACCCCAATGAACATCACTATAAATTATCAGAGCATTCTCTCTATATCCACACTTCAAGCCTATGTGCAAATGCTCTCTAACAATATGTTTTGTTCTCTCTAAATATATACATGAGTACACACTTTAGCATGTGATGGTTAAACTTGTATTATGTTTTAATAAAAAATTTGTGCTAGAATAGACAGTGCATAAATCACAAATGCTTATTCAAAAATTATTGAGCAGAGGTATAGAATCACGTTGACGCAGCACGTTTTTTGAAAAGAGGTACAGAATGGAGTCGACACCACACGCTTTTTGAAATGAGGTACAGAAAGGAGTTGACACGGCAGGCTTTTTGAATAGAAGTTACAGAATGGAATTGAAACCACACGCTTTTTGAAATGAGGTACAGAAAGGAGTTGACACGGCAGGCTTTTTGAATAGAAGTTACAGAATGGAGTTGAAACCACACGCTTTTTGAAATGAGGTACAGAAAGGAGTTGACACAGCAAGCTTTTTGAATAGAAGTTCAGAATGGAATTGAAACCAAACGCTTTTTGAAATGAGGTACAGAAAGGAGTTGACATGGCAGGCTTTTTGAATAGAAGTTACAGAATGGAGTTGAAACCACATGCTTTTTGAAAAGAGCTACAGAATGTACTATAGTTGACACTGCACATTTTTTGAAAAGAGGTACAAAATGGAGTTGAAACAGCACGGTTTTTGAAAAGAGGTATAGAATGAAGTTGAGACCACACACATTTTGAAAAGAGGTACAGAATGGAATTGACACCAGACTTTAAAAAGAGATACAAAATGGAGTTGACACTGCATGCTTTTTGAAGAGGTAAAAATGGAATTGACATCGCATGCTTTTCATGTCTGAGATTGCAGTAAGACGGTTGCACAGTTAACATTTAGTATAACAAATTGGATTTATATAATTGCTATGGAGAATTCCACTGCTTCGTTTACTGTCGTGTTCTTCTTGCCATTCATTATCTTGTCTCTCACATTCACTTTCTGTAATTTCAGCTCACTCCATTAATAATCACTTAGACTAATCTTTCCTAAAATTTCTATAACTTTGTTTTTAAATTGACAAAAAAAATCAGAAAAGGAAGATGCTTTCAAATAAATTTTGAATTTTCATCCAATTATTTTTTCATATTAAAGATTATTTATTCCATTTCATTCATTTGTTTTTATCAAATAATTTTTTTTAGGATCATCATTTTTTTCACTTTATTTTCATATTCACAAATTATTAATAAGGATCTCAGTGTAATTAAGGTTCAGTATTCTTCTTTATTTGGATTTACAAAAATCAACCTTATTATGTTTATATATTTCTTTATTACTATAAAGGTGACTAGACATTTCTTATGCGATGCAGATTGCCTTAAAATTATTTCAAATGCTACAATTTTTGTGAAGGCAAAAATGGAAAAAAATCCCTAAAATGATTAAAGATACTATAGTTGCACTCTGCTGTTAAGAAAAGGGCTTGGCCAATTATAGAGGGCGCCAAACAGAAATATTCATCACAATAACATGAAATTGTTTATTAGGGTGCAATCATCAATATAAGACTGAATTAATCAAATTCAAATTACTATTGGAATTTTCACATACTAACAATTAATTAGTAATTAAAAGAAATCCTTAATTTATATTCTAATTATAATTACATTAACAATCACCATCATATCATTAATGTTTTTAATTTCTGTATAGTAATCAGCCAGGCAACAGTTAATATTTTTAAAGCTTGTCCTTAAACGTAACTAATCAATATCTGATAGCACAGCGCATTTGATTTTGACTGCGGTATAGTGATATTGACGCTTTATGTTTCATTATCATTATTATCATTTATAGAGTAGTGGAAATAAAATCCTAATCCATCTATATCTAAACATGAACTGTCAGATCATGTAGATTACAGTATGTTACATTAAAATGCAATACTGAAATATAGAAAAGTAATTCTCAGCTCACATATTAAAATGCAACATACTTATGTGGTTTATAGCTTATTTAAGTAAATTATAACATTTGTGACCCAAGCTCACAAGCGGGCTGTAAACTCGTCCTCAGGCCAAAATGAGTTTTTCATTATTATTATTATTATTATTATTATTATTATTATTAACATTACTTTATTATTTTTATTATTATTATTATTATTATTTAAATCACTTTATTAGTACAAAAACAATAATAAAAAACAAACAGCAATCCTAGATTATGACCCAGAAGGGCACATGCAAAACGAAACAAAGTTCTGTTATAATAATACTGTCTACTGTCTACAGCAACAACTAGTTGACAGCCATGTCAAGAAAACAGACCACTCATTATGCTTTAACTTGCATCACAACCTAGCAGGAGGGACTGCGGCCCTAAAAGCTGCAAAAACAGCATAATTGATCACTATCTAGTAGCTAATCAATGCCCTTCAACAGACCTAAGCACAGTAGGTATGGATGCTCATATTAACTAAAAGCTGAGGAAGCCACTCCATGGTTCATTACAGTATTATGCATTATCATGTACAACATGTTGCACTATGAGGTTTAGAAAGTGAAACTGTGTTCAGAGATAAAAAAAAAAAGGATCCTGGCATTTTAGGAGATTTGAAATAAGAACTCCCAAGGTGGAAGGAGGCATGTACTGGGGAGGGGGGAAAATTCCCCTCCTCCCCCCCCCACAAAAGAAGAAAAATCACAAGTGGGGAGAAAAAAATTGTGTGTATTTTCTACATATTATTAGTAGAATATCTATATGTAAAATCGATTATATCTATATGTAATATCTATATGTAAATTCTGCGCTGCGCTGCACTGTGCCTTGCTGTTTTTAATCGCTTTTACTTCCAGAGATCAGAGATTTATTGATATATTTTATGTATCCTTAAATCAGTGGAGAAACTTTATACAGCAATTTAGTTTGCTTTTTGTTTATCCTGTCTCTGATTTTTGGTATTGTTATTTCTGTATATTTTGTTTTCTGTTTGACGAAATAAATGAAAATGAAATGATTAAATAAGCCTCTGAAACCCCTAACTTGTCATATTTTTCGAGGGCTCCGCCCCCTGGGCCACTTTCGAAACATTTTAATTGACACCCAACCACACCCACATTTTTCT